TTGTTTAAGTGTGCTGTGCTGAGGCTGATCTTGACCAGACAAGGACTCTCTCTCTGTCTGTGTGTGTGTGTGTGTCTGTGTGTCTGTGTGTGTGTGTGTGTGTGTGTGTGTGAGAAAGCAAGAGAGAGGTGGTGCTGGGAGCTGTCCGTGGTTCTGAAAAGAGAGCTCATTAATGAGAAAGGATGCAACTGTGTTTTAGAGGGATTGAAACAAGGGAGGAAACTGAGTCTTTATTTGAGGCATTTCTGCTTGTTTTTAGTTTCATTTCCAACAGAGAACTTCAGAGGGATATGAAGACTTGAGATTTTATCAAAATGATGCTACTTAACCCAGGTTATGTTCTCTAATAGTGAGGTAGGACAACAGCAACTCCTGTTGGAAGAAGTGTAAGCTTGCCAAATAAACTAAATAAGAAAAATAAAAATGTGTTCCACAAAAAACAAATGCAGGATGTATCTACCTAGAAGTTTCCATCTAGCTGCTTGGTAAGTCAACCAGTTTTTGACGTGATTACAAGCATTTATAACTCACGTAGACGTAAAAATAGTAGAAATATGTGCAATCAGAAGAGAGTGAAACAGAAATAAATGGAACAAAACAGCAAAAAAATTGTGGCGAATTTTGATACTCCTCACCATTTACATTACACAATGTAAACACCAACAATATGGTTTGAACCCTAATGCAGCACATCAAGCGTTGGACAGTTGGTAACAGTCTTTATTCTGAGCGTAGCTCACAGCAGATCAGGTGGCAGGCAATGCAAAAAGCAAAAAGGCAAAAGACTTGGTTGAGGACAGAAGGCAGAGGTGATTACCAGGTTTCAGACGAGGCAGGTTAGTCAGAGACAGGCAGGGTCGGCAACAGAGAATCAATCCGGAGATGAGTGCTGGATAGTCTTGCATTAAGGCGTTGAACAATCTGGCAACTGACTGAGAGTGGAACTGGTGACTATATACTGGGCTGATTGCAGGTGATGAGGAGCAGCTATGTTGGGTTGGTCAGAGGGTGTGGCTTGGCGGGCAGATGAAGCAGAGGAGGAGACCATGGAAAAGTACTGAGAAGTAGGAGGATGGAAGACTGACTGTGACGTGGGAGGATGGGAGACTGACTGTGACAGGAGGAGGTTGTACTTCTACTACTATTGCTTCAAAATGTGACCTTATCAACAGCACATATTCTGATTGGTACGATACATGTCGGAATGGAAACCGCTTGCCTTGTCTGGATACAGTTTTGTGAATTATTAATAACATGCAAAATATTTGCATGAAAAAAAAAGTGTAGTGTATAATTTGTATGTGTATGATTTTGACTCTGGCTATACAACATAAATGAGAGCTAAATAAACTTACATTTTGCTTAAACAAAACAAAAAGACACAAAATTGCCCCTTGGATAAGCTTTTTTTTTGTCCAATTATGAACAATCAGCTCTCATTTCATTTATAGCATGATGCTATTTCAGTAGACATGACAATACTAGACATGTCAAAGCAAAACACTTTAAAAGGAATAAATACTTACTTTAAAAAGCCAATACAAAATAAAATGATCTTGTTGGACTCTAGAGACTCCAGCCAAACATATTACATTTTAGATGGTCAATAAACTGAAGCGCAACTGTACAGTATTGAATTTGACCTTTTACTGGCCTGTAATGGGATTAGCTTTGATGGGCTGAGCCATACTTTCTCTGTCACCACCTGCAGCAAGATGTGAAATGGAAATGATTCATTACTCACTATATGCATTAACATCAGTGTTGTTTCTCACTAACAGGCGTACGGGCCGCCTGTAGCAGCAGACGTGGTTTGCATGGAGACAAGCTGCTGATGCATATTGCTAAAGTAGATAAAATAAAGGGAACAAGGAAGAAAAACCTGCAGAGAAAAGGTGGAGGAGGAAGATGGAAATACAGATAGAGACAGTGCAGCTGATTAAGATCTTGAGGACTTGTTTGTGTGACACGCGCTGAAATCTGTGCATATGTCCGTGTGTGTGCATCTGCTTAATGTGACACAAGTAGGACAAAAATACAGCACAAACAAACAGTTACAATTTTTTAGATAGATAGGAGTAAAAATTGAAATCTTTATCTGCTGTGTTTTGCAAGTTTTAACAGGTAGTTTTTACGGTTTGCCGCTGTGTTGTGCAGCCTACTGTGATTCCCCTGTTGATCCTGGTTGGTCCCTGCAGGCCCTGAAACATTTTTCCAACAGCTGTCAAACAGATGTCTCATTTACAGTGGTGGTCTATGGGGCTTTTTTTTTGTTATTTGGCTGAATGGTGACGCCAGCTCTCTTCAGACATGCATAGATGCATGAAGTTGCTCCTTACTTGTTGAGAATATTACTCACTGTTCACAAGACATGCAACAGAATTGTAAGGTTTATGTCTTTAACCACATATTTATTGCTTTTATATTTGTATTGCCTTTTAAGTTAATTTAAGCCTTGGGAGGTTTCCAACTGCCTGTAACCTAACATTAGGCAAGTTTATCTGTGTAGCACATTTTAACAAAAGAGACATTCAAAGTGCTTGACATTAAAATGGTAAAGGAATCTTTCACAATAGATTAAAAAGAGTTACTATGCAGAGATTTTAAAGCAAAGAGGAGGTTGTGACTTTCACAGCTGTTCTTGAAGCCAGAGTGAAAGTCACTGAAAATTTGCCAAAACTGCATTTCTTCTACACACTGAACAATAAGTGTTGTTTATTAAAATGTTTAGGACTAAAAAGCATGCACTGCACAAATGAAAATTAAAAGTCCTAGCTCGACTGTAACCTCTTGTCATAGAGGCTATGGTTTTCTTGTTTGTCTTTCAGCGGCATGTCTCAAAAGCAGATCAATGGATTTTCATCAAATTGCCCTGAGCCGACAGGCTTCATGCCAGATAACAGTTGATTAGATTGTGGCGATGATCTGGTTCTTGGATTTCGGCCATCAGATGATAATCCTTTTTTAGTCATAACTAAGATAAAGACTTGACTCTAAACCTTCAGGGTAAGTTTGCACGGTCAATAAATCGATTTGGAAATTTAAAAAAATGTAAGAGACATGATTGATATCTCTGAGTGTAACAGCAGACAGGGAAAGTGGTTTGGGTCTGTGAGTGCCTCCTGTCTGATCGTTCAGCACTGAACGCTAGACTACACAGAGACATGACCACAGGGGTTTGAACTATGACTTTGCTCATGGTACTGTGTCGTCTTTAGATTATGTTTTTTATGCACTAAAGCACAATTCTTTGTAACAGCGCTTTTCCCAAACCAAACCTTTAGCGAAAAAAGATAAGAAATCCTTTTCACTCCCGGTTATTGATTAGTCTTCCCAGGGCTGCCACAGTGTGGTGCCTGCTCAGAGACAGCGCGGCCAGTTTCCCAGCAAGTGGTTTCCATAGCAACAGGTAACCAAGTAGTCATGGCGGCCGCTGAGGCCAGGGGGGCAGCAGGGAGGGGAGTGGTAGGGAGGGCAGGTGTGTGTGTGTGTGTGTGTGTGTGTGTGTGTGTGTGTGTGTGTGTGTGTGTGT